TCCAGAGCAGGTCCTCGAGCCTCTGGACCCGGACGTCAGCCAGCTCCTGCCCTCCTGCCCCTGCTCTGTGCCCAGAGCACCTCCTCAGCGCCCCGATCCCTAAACCCGGAAACAACAGGGACCTCGCACCTGGAAGACGATGACGAAGGCCAGCCGGGCGGCCAGCACGGCCCAGAAGTCCTTGGAGATGTCATACTTGTGCTCCGACCATGGCGGCTCCCGGTAATCTTTGTACCTGTCGAAGGCCGCCAGGGGTCAGGGAGGATCTTCAAGAGGAACTGGGGTCTGGCTGGGCCGGGGGGCTCCCGGGATGCCTGCGGGAGAGCTGCCCTCCCTGGGGGAAGGCGCCCACGTGGGCCGGGCAGGCGAGGGGGCTTCGCGGGGAACGCAGACCCCACCGGGCGTCCCCTGAGCCTAGCTGCGGGCGCACGGGAGGGGCTCTGGGACCGCCCGGCGCAGAGGTTCCCAGCTGTAGAAGGCAGTGGGGCCCTTTTCCCAAAAAGAAGTCCCAGCTGAAACCCTAGTAGGTCACACAAAGCAAGCAGGGCCTCCCTGGTTGAAGAGGGGTGGGGTCCCCAAGCCTGGAACCTCAACCCAACCCTCATCGTCCACAAAACTCCAGGCTGGGGTCCGTGGAACCGTTTGAAAACCATTTCTCCCGCCTCTCCCGGCTCTGTAGGGGTGCTATTGGGAAAAATGGAACATTTGCTCAAAGAAGCCCAGGTGCGAGGTTAAACACACAGCTGGTGCGGTCAGGGCACCAGGCAACTGTGCCCAGGCCTGCCCTGCCCCATGGGCCCGGCCCCCGGGGGCACCTCCCTCCCTGTCCCCGTGGCTGCCCGGCTGCTACCTCCTTATCTCCACGGGGTAAGTACCAGCCTGCCCCTCACCTTATCACCTGCAGTGCTGCCCACTGACTTTCTGCTGAGATAAGCTCGCCCCCTGCCCTCAGGGAGTGGGGGCGCCTCTCGTACGGTAGGTCTGCCTTTTTCTCAGAGCTGTTCTGTGTGGAGGTGGGGTGAGGGTGAGAAGCCAGGGCCCTGTCCCCACCTGGCCCCCTGACTGCCCCGAATTCGGAGGCGCCTGGCTTTAACAAAGCTAAATTTGGAGGAAATGTTGGAAAACTTTCCCAAATCTGTCCAAGAAAGCCACACTGGGCTGGTTTCCAGGTGCTGGGCTGCAGGAGTGCCCTGTTGGTCACTGAAAAGTGGGGGCCCAGTGCAGGAAACCGGGAGAGGAGGCAGCTGGCTCCGTACACCTAGGCCTGCCGTCAACCCACAGTTGGCTCCCGCCTTGCTGTGCTTCCCTGTGCCATTGCTTGGCCTCTCTGGGCCTTGGTCTGGCATTTCCTTGCTTAGTGACATTCACTGAGCAGGGACTGTGCACCAGGCCCCACTCCAGGCCAGAGCTTCCGCGGGGGACACAGACGGCCCCTCACCCACAGAGCTTTGTGTCTGTGGGAGCTGGACGAGAGTCTCTGCGGGCCTGTTCAGTGCCGAGCTGCCAACCCCAGAGATAGGATCGGGCTGGGTGCACACACTCTGGCGCCAGGTGCTGAGCCATGCAGAAGTTGCACAACCTGATCTCTGATGGGAACAGGCATCCCCTGTCAGAAGCCACACACACTTGTTCCTCCCACTTCTTCCTGTGCTCAAGGCCAGCTATAGCAGGATGCTGGGCCATGTGTTTGGGTTACCTGGAAAACTCCTATGCACCCCTCAAAGCCCACTTCAAGACGTGTCCAGATGCCACCCCTCACCGTCTGCACTGACCTCGATCAGAGGCAATCTCTTTGTTTTCCTTGCTTAGTGCTTGTACTCTGCCTGCCAGCTCTCCCGGGGAGGATAATAATGCTCTCTCTGGGCTTGGCTGTGAGCATTCAGTGAGCGATGCCTGTTTTAGTGCGGAAATTAATAGCAGCCAGCTGTGATGCCAGCGCTGCTCCCAGCTCCTCTCCCACACCTGCTGCCCCAGGCTGGGCTGGGCGCTACTCCTCCCACAGCCAACTCCCCTGGGAGGCGGCTTGGCGTGGGTGCGGCTGGTGGTGGCATGGAGTGCACCGCACCTACAGACTTGATTGTGGCCAACCGAGGGGTGGGCCTGGCCGAAGCCAGAATCCCAGGGAGCAGAGCGGGCTGGCTCACGCCTTCACCTCCACGGGGGCAAAGTAACAAGTGACATTCACTGAGCAGGGACTGTGCACCAGGCCCCACTTCAGGCCACAGCTTCCGCGGGGGACCCAGACGGGGCCCTTTCTCCCGGCCGGACTCCTGACTGATGCCCGGACGGGGAGCTGCTTCCTAGGGCTTGAAAAACCAGCGTCTGCCCTGTAAACCCCAACACCGTTTCTGAGGGAATTTCTAATGAAATGCCTGCCTGCCCCCGTCTTATCGTTCTTCCTCTGAAATTCACTTTGAGTTAAGCAGGTGGCCTGAGCGCGTTCTTGGCGTGGGACGTTCAAAGCCGGGGCAGTGCAAGCTGGCCGACAGACGTGGCTCTTAGGCCGGCAGTTCAGGGCTGTTCGGGGCTCTGGGGGCCCGTGCCTGCAGGGGACAGGGAGGGAGGACCCAGAGCCCTTCAGCCCCGCGCCCCAGGCTGATCCTCCCCAAGGGAACCAGGCCGGCCGTCGGAGCAGGTCACCCCGGCCTCTCCTGTGATGTCCATGTCCACATCCGTGTGCACGGAAACCAACGTGCGGTGGACGGGACCCTGAGAAGCGGGCCGCGGGCGGTGCTGCGTGTTTGCGGGCCACCTGCCCTCTCTAGCTGGCGGGCCTGGCTTCAGCTCAGTCCTTTCCACCGCTGGACCGGGCCCCAGGGTGGACGCGGCCCCTGCTCCGAGCCAGAACACAAAGCACATCTCGTAACTTCTCTTTAATCAGGGCCTCCGATGACCCCGGGTGGTGCTGTGTTTCCATTTCTTGGGCCTGTTTTTTTGCTGCAGCCGCAGGCCACTACTTGCTGCTGGCAGGACCCTGACCCCTGACAGTCTCCTCCACCCCCTGCTACTACGTCAAGGGTGTGAAGACCAATAGATAAGCTTAGCAGAACCATGTGCAAACTGAGAGCAAATAGGCGAGGAGCAAACATCTGCTGCGCAGGACGGGCCGAGCTCCATCGTGTGGGCTCTGGGATGTGAATCTCGGCCCCTGCGGTCTTTCGTGTTCTGAGTCTCGGTGGGGGTGGAGGCCGTTCAGACTGTCAGCAGATGCTAAGCGTGCTGAGGTCACACTGTCTCAGCTCTTACTCCCCGTTCTCAGCCTCAACTCGAAGCCAGTGGCCAATCACATGACAGCCCTCCGCATCCTGACCCCGGATGCTGCGCCCCTGCCCATCCCTCCAGTCTCACCCCTTTACATTCCAGGGCAGGCTGAAGTTTCCCTCCCACGAACACCCTGATTCTCACCTCTCTGCTTCTGCCCACTGTGCTCCTCCCCCTGGAGTGCCCCCCACCGCCCCCACCCTTCACCTGGGCTTCCAGCTGCTTGCTCCCCTTTACACGAATCTGTGTGTTTCCGTTGCTCCTGCACGAGGCCTCTGGAGAGCAGGGGTCATGCGGCCCACTCCCAGGTCCCCAGCCCCTAACCCAGGCTGGCACAAGGACAATGCACAGAGTATGGCCAGGCCTGGCTCTGCCCCTCACCCACCCCTACCCGTCCCCACCTCCATCTTTCCTGGGTGCTCTCTGCAGTGTCTGGCCAGCTGATGGGGCCCCTCAGGTTTGGCTATCTCCGATATCCGTTGCTTTTGCCTGCCCACCATCCATCACTCCTTCTTTGAGTCCCAGCACCCCAGTTTTCCTTGGGATGCCCCCAATTCTATGGCCCAGGCCCCACCCCTGGCACATGACCCAGGCCTCGCCGGTAAGAGCCTCCCCTACTTTGGCAACAGTGGTTTGGGGATGGGCCTGTGACTCAAGACAGGTCAGTGAGACTCAATCCTGGGACTTCTACTGACTAGCGGGAAAGAGAAATTCTTCCCACTGAGACTGCTGAGTAGAGAAGACTGCTGGGGGCTCCTTTCCACCTGCCAGAAAATGATGCTGACATGGAGGAATGCAAAGTTGGGAGGCAGTGTCAGAATGGGGCCAGAGGGCAAACGGCAGCCCCTGGATCTAGCCATGCCTGAAGCTATTCCAAACTTCTCAGTTAAAGGAACTAATAAATCATCCCCTACCCCTACCCCAGGGATCTTTTTTTTTTTGAAGCAGCATTGAGCTGTTCTGTGACTTGCCCTGAAGGAATCCTGGCTTGAACGGGAGTTTTCCCAGAAGGCCACCAAATTTGGCTCTTCAAAGAGGGCTGCCCAGAGCGGTACCTGCAGATCTGCACCTCGTAGCCCAGGTCCAGGGGGTCGCTGGGGGCCGTGCCGTTCTGGAAGTCGCTGACGTTGAAGGAGGAGAGGGTGTGGTTGACGAAGCCGTGCATGGTCCCGTTCTCGCTGTACATGTACAGGTACACCAGGCGGGGGATGAAGTCGGACGTGAAGGAGATCACGAATGCCTGGGCGGGGAGCGCTGGGTGAGTGTGGACCCCCCGCTGGGCGGGGCAGTGGTGGGGGAGGTGCCCCACCTGAGCCAGGGTGGCACTGGCCCTGGGGCCTGGCCGTGTGACCCGAGTTGGCAAACGTGACCATGTGGCCTTGGCACATTATGTGAACAAACGAACGGTTGGGGGAACTCCTGTCACCCCAAGAAGAGGGCCTGGGGGCTGGGAATAGGGCATCCCTGAGTGAGAAGGCTTGGGGAATTCTGATGAGGGGGGAAAACTAAGTTTTCTTTAAAAAAAGGAAGACCCAAAAAGGAATCTCTGTCTGTCTGTCCGAGTGCCGCTCCTTGTCCCTGTGTCTGGGTGTCTCTCTCCCGCCCTCCCTATCTCTGTCTGCCCCTCTCCTCCTCTCTGTCTGGGGAGACAGCGGACTTAGGGGCCAAGGTGGGCGCGGGGGAGGACTCTGCAGAGAAAGGTGGAGGAAATTTCGTTATTCCCACTGAGAGCTCGCCCCGCCCCCTCCATACGACCGAGGGACACTTCTGAACAGAGACACTCCCACCAGCCCGGGGCTGCACTGGAGGCTGAGACCAGCGCCCTGGAAGGGGCGCCCGGTCCCCAGGCAGCGCAGGGACATCACTTACGTTGATAATGACTGCGAGCTTCCCGACGCCTCTGAGGATGTTGTACCAGATCCCTGGGAGAGGAGGGGAGAAGCACAGATATAAAGAGCCTCTTGCTTCTGACTCTCAGTCACGCCGGCTGGCAGGCGCAGCTCGGCCTCTCCAGGGGCTGGTCTGGCCCTTCTCTGGGGTGGGGTGGGGATCAGACATGCAGTAAAGAGAAACTGTCCAGGGGGGACCCCGGGGGAGCCTGGCTGACCACAGAGCCCACGGCTTGTACCGTCATCAGCTGTTAGCAAGCAGACTGTGGTTTTCAAAAGAGATGCTTAAAAATATCTGGTCTCTACTGGCTCTGAGCAACCTGCTGCAAACCCGTGTGAACCACTGATCGGCTTAGCAGGGCTCTTTTCTAGACAGAGGAAGGCTCAACTTGGGTGCAGTTCCTGCCCCAAAGGGCCCACGAGCACTGCCTGGAGATGGAACTCATGAGGTTTGGTGTCCTAGGACTTTCATGTAGCTCTCGTGCTAGGAAAATTGGATTTAGGGACTGGCCAGATGCAGGGCCAGGGTCCAGGAGCAAGGCCAGGGCTCCTGGCCAGGACTGCGTCCTGGGCATAATGACCAGACAGCAGTGAGGTGCAGGCCATTTTCTATCCAGATGCCCCCTTGTTTCCATCACCCCAAGTGCAGCACTGAGCCTAATCACAGGTGAACAAAAGGTTGACACAAGGGACCTGGGGAAACGCCAGCAGGGATGCTCCACCGGCCCCCATCCCAGCAGGGCCCAGGAAGGAAGTACTTTAGCTGTGGGCTCTGCCATCTGGGCTCAGTCCTGTGAACCCTGGAAAGGGGTCCAGCACCCATGCCCGCCCCCCGCCCGCACCCTGGCGGTGTCCTATCAGGCCAGGCAAATCACCACAGATTTGGGGCTGGGAACCCTGTCCCAGGCATTCTCTCTCCCGGCTTAAAGCCAGATCTGTGATGGTGACAACTGTGCTTCTCAGAAGGGGTGGGAGGGGACAAAAGCTGGTCATTAGGAAGACTGTAGCACGGTGGGGCTCCCTAACCAGGGCGTGGAGGGCTGCGCACTGGGGATCCTGCCCTTGCAGGGAGCACCTGTTTGGGGGTACATGTAGACAGCCTGCCAAGACAGCAGGAGTCCAGGCCCACGTGGCCCAGAAGCTGGACCACTGACCCAGCACCCGAGGTCAACTGTGAGGCAAGGCTCCCCAGCCCCGGCCGGGGAACATTCCGCGAGAACGAGCATTTAGGATGCCCACTGCAGACCAGGTCTGCCGGGCCGTGCAGGGGTGGGGCCCGCCTCCCTGCCCTCAGCAGTGCTCACGCCCATGCGGGCCGAAACCCGACCCAAGGCGGGGAGTTCGTGGTGGCTCCGCTGGGTCCTCCCACGAGAGCAGCGATTCCCAACTCACTTCCGGGCTGGAACTGAGGCAGGGCGGTCACGGGGCCTGCATGCCTCAGGGCGCCAGATGCACCCACCCTGCCCGTCTCCCCTGAAGAAAGCACACGGGTGCAAGTCAGCGGGATGTGGCTCATTAAGGAACACATCCCCAGGCGATCAGCGAGGCACAGGCTCCACCTGCTCCCACAGCTGGGCGTCTCGGCGGCTGGGAGCCCTTCTGCAGACTCCGAGCTCCCGGAGACACTGAACTGCCCATCCTTGCATCTCTCCTGGGCCCAGCACAGAGACTAGCACGTGGGGCGGAGGCGCTGCTGGGTGTTTGTTGACTGACTGCATGGGTGTGCAAAGCACTTCCAGCCAGACTCTTCATGCTGAGCGGAGGTTGCAAAATGGAGGCCCTTGGGCCACATTCAGGCACGTGGGTTTCACTGAGCTTGCCTGCTACTTAAAAAATGTTGATTGATGTTTACAGCTCGGGATGATTTTTTTTTAAGGGAGGGACTGGGGATTAAAACTACGAGCTCGTGCATGCTAAGCACGGGCTCTACCACTGAGCTACACCCTCCCAGGGATGCTGTATTTTTAAAAATCTAGACTTGCTGCTTCTGAAAGGGCCTCCTCTCCTGGTCAGCAGCAGGTTGGCAGTCTCCATGACAACAGCCGGCTGTGGCCGGCAGTGGCGCACCCTTCAGGCCACACTGTGCCCTGAAGTTCTGCTCTACACCTCAGCAACTTGCTTGTGTTGCTTAGAGAAACATTTATCTGAACCCAGACCCGTGCTCAAGAGGGGAGACAAAAACCCCGGGAGGGCTGGGTGTTTGACGGGAACTGGAAACAAGCACCCCTTGTGTGTGCGCACAGTCCGCTCATGCGTGCAGCCCCGCCTGGCCCCGCGGGGTCTGAGGTAGAGAACTCCCAGTTGGGGTGCTTGGTCCCGGTGAGCCGGGTAAGTGGAGGTCTCTGGGCAGAGGGCTCCCTCGGGAGACGGCCCCTGAGTTCTGCAGGAGGAAACGGGTCTGTGTCTGGCCCAGGTGACTGGCCCAACGCGCCGAGAGAGATGACAATAGGAAACAGGGATGTCAGGGAGGTGGGAGACCAGGGGGGCCAGTGAGCGCTTTCCGCAGCCCAGAACTGAGCCTCACAGGACCTGCAATGGTCCTCTGTGTGACCCCACACCAGAATCATGGGGTCCTGTTTGAAAAATGCAAAACCAGGATGCCAGCCCCTGGCCTGCAGGGTCAGCCTCTCTCGGAGTCCTGAGCCTCTGAGTTGTTTCGACGCACACTCCAGGATGAGAATCGCTTCTCTGATGACCCGTAGGTCCCAGGGGCTGACGCTCTTTGGGAAAGGTCTTGGGGCTCCCTTTACAAAAGTCTCACAGGGGAGCTGCCCCGTTTCCACCTGCCCTCTTCTCCAAGGCATTGCTGCCACTCCAGGGGATGCGCAGCCCCGTTTCCAAGAACACGACAGGGAGGAATTCACGTTGCCTGCCCACCCGCAGTGCCCAGGAGCTGGATGCAGGCACAGCTTCCCGCCTGAAGGTTCTGAAGATGGAGCCCGAGGGCAGCAGGCATGTGGGTCTGGGGTCGGCAGTCAGGGCTGGGACGCTGGTGCAGGTTCCCATGCATGCCCGGGGCTGGGTCCCTGCAGGGACGCGCCATGCCTCCCTCTCTGGGACCCGGCAGGGCAGTCAAGGCACCTGGGCTCTGTGGCAGAGCCTCCTCCAGATGCCCATGGCCCCATGGGTGCGGGTCATGGGGGCCACTGGGGCCCTCTGTCCCTTCAGGGCCCTGCACGGATCACCGGAGGAATACAAAGGCCTCTTCAAGGAAAGGTTACAGCGGAGGAGCCTGTAAACAGACCCAGGAGAGAAGGGCAGATTACGCTCCACCAACCAGGCAGGCAGGAACCAGGAAGGGAGCTGCTGATCCGTGAGAGCTGGGAGAAACGAGGTGCCGAGGGCAGAGACCCGGGGCCGCGGTCCAGGCCTGGGTTGTGGTGGGAGTGGCACCGCCCACCGGGGCCCGGGAGGGCCGGGGGCGTCCTGATGCTCCCTTCCGCCCCGGGGGGTCTGCAGGTTTTAGGGTACCGCTGCTGGGCACGGCCCCGGCTCTGCCAAGCACAAGATGCCAAAGCAAACACTGGCCGCTGTGGACTCGCCTACGGCCTCTGGGTGCCTGAGAATTGAGCCTTTGTAAGGAGCAAGAGGTGGGAGGCCACGCTCTCTTCTTTACGGCCACTGGGCGCAGGCTCAGAACTCCCGAGGGCTGCCCAGGGAGTGCCTGGCGGGCTGCCCCGTCCACCCCATCGAGGCCTGAGGCGTGCACCTCACCAAGGTGTGTCCGGAGGGGTGGCGGCTCCAGGAGGGGCCGAGGGCTTGAGTTCTCGGGGTGCAGCTCCGCCCTGCCAACCACCTGGCCTCCATCTCCCCATCTGGAAAGTGGGACCAAGGGTTTGTGTCAGCTGCCTTGCAAGGTTCCTGGGGAGGACCTGACAGCAGAAAGCCCCACAGAAAGTTCAGCGCCAGACACGGAGCAGGGCGTGGCGTGCTTCCCTCAGCCCCGGTGCCGCCGCCCCTGGATCTCCAGGGGGATTTGCAAACACAGGCTGGTGGCCGCAGGCAGCGGACGGCCAGTGTCTGGAGGCCCACGGGCGAAAAACAGCTCTTAGGTTTTCAAGTGTGAAATGAAAAAAAGCATGAGAAACTCTGCCTTCCGGTGAGAAGCCTGCTCTGACTCGAGCACGTGGCCTCTTCGTCCGCAGAGACGGCACCTTATCCTCTGGGCCCTCGCGGCAGGGCGAGCCGGGCTCGGGCCAGCACTACAG